CCGGGCCCGGTGGAATTAAGCAGTTACTGAGACCAGACCAGGACATAAACCTTCCATTACGCAGACTGTGCTCATGAATAATAATGTGAATCAGACAGCTACTGGACACAGACGTAGTGTTACAAAAACAGATTTTTTTTCATGTATTCGTCATAAGGGGGAGTGCACTTGTGTGTTTATAAGGACTTTCTGATTGCCAAATAGCAACACACACATTTGAAATGGAAGGGGAGGAGGGAGGACAGTGAGTGTATGAAGATACAAGTGTTTGAACACTTAAACACAACGCAACAACCTGAGACTAGTGTGGGGGAGTCAGTGGGTTGGAGGGTGACAGAGAAAGGGGGAAAGGAAAGAGAGAAAGACAGAGAGATCAACAGATTGATAATTAGAGAAAGATAGAAATAGTGCAACAAAGAGAAGTAAAGCAAGAGACATCTTGAATCTGGGAGTGTGGGAGAGAGGAAGAGGGATTGTAGAAAAGGTAAAAAGACGAGGAGAGGGAATTAGGGGTGAGGATTTCAGGGAGGGAGGGAGAAGAAAAGGGTGAGACATAAAGAAGGGAAGAATTGAGACAGAGGAGCAGTAGTGCTTTCAGGAGTACGGCTGTGGAACTCCATATCCTGGTCTGTAGATCGGTCTCCCCGTTGGCGACTGAGAATTGGAGTAGGCGGGCCCGGCTGGGTAGCTGTAGCCGCCGTAGCTGTAGGAGGCCGGGTATGGCGCGGGGCCACTCTGGGGGTGGCTGGGGGTGTACTGGCCGAACGCTGAGCCCGGATGCGGAGCAGGGAAGGAGGGCTGGGTCGGGTAAGGGCAGGCAGCTGAAGCCGGAGGCCCGAAAGCAGGCCTGGGGCCGGAGTAGCTCCCTCCTGGGGTGAAAGGTGAGCTGGAAACTGGGTAGGGAGGGAACTGTGACGTGGGGTTGGCCGGGGCAGCAGCTGCTGCCGCTGCGGGGGCTGATTTGGGGGGGGCGATGGGGTACGGGCTGTAGGGGAGGCCGGAGGAGCCCCCTGCAGATGAGGAGGCTGTCTGCGAGGCGTTTTGGTAGCTGGAGGACTGAGGTTTGGAGTTCGGCTGCTGCTGATTCGTCGTCGTTGCCGTTGTCGTCGGCTGATTCCACGGTGAGGGTATGGCGGCAGGGTCCTGGCAGATGCCTGCCGATGATGTCATGGCGGTGGGATTGCCCTCACTCCTCTGTCGCAGGATCTCCTGGAGCTTCTCTATCCGCACCCGTCTTTTGTGAGCGAGGGAGCGCAGGGAGAGGAAGTGGTCGAGGAAAGAGTCCAACGGCAGAGAGCCATCCAGGAACTCATCGGCTAGAGCCTGCAGTCAGACAAACACAAACACTGACAGTGATGCTAACGACTAAGTACTAACATCCCTGTAAAGCAGCTTTTTAAAATAACTTGCTTATACATAATACGGCATCTACGTCAGACTGTCCAGTCAGAGTGGAGTATGAACATGATCAAAATCTGTCATTTCAAAAGTATCCAATAGCAAATAAATGTCTTTGGTTTAAATAGCTCCTCAGCCAACAGAGGTTGGGGACCTCTGACATACAATGATAACCATTATATGACCTTGGAGGTGAATCTGCAAAACATTAGACATTGTATGCATTCAGATTATCTGTGTAACTGAAGAGGAAATATGATAAGGCAGGAATAGTACACTATATTATTTCAGTGCATTACAGAGAGCTTTCAGACAGGCTTTAGTGCATTATAGACAGCTGCGATTAAACAGTTTTATAACAGTCTCAGCTGTTTTTCTACACAGAGCCACAGGAAGGCACCAGTAAATGTCTGACAGAAGTGCCAGAGAGCAGAACAGTTTATGGAGGAAGTGTCTGCAGATACGGAGGGAATTAGCTGCCTCAGGATCCTTAAAGAATATAGTGAAACTGCTGCTAATGTGAGAGGCTGCATCATGATCACACCGTTCTCATAACGAGCGGCCGACAACTGGCATGGCAGGGAGTGTCTGTTTGAGCAGTTGAAGTGTGTATGTCAGGTGTTTGCACCTGTCTTTTGTGTCTGCATTCTTACAGAGTATGGACTATAATGTGGTCATTTGTTGCTTTCACCTTTGACCTCCTTAAAGCTGCATGTTTATAATATTTATGGCCTACTCGTGAAGATGGAAATATACTGATAAAAATGTGCCTCTTTTTATTTATACACTACAGAGCTGTTTAAGTTCATTTAAGCCTAATACATTGTGTGTGCGTGTGTGTGTTCTGACCTCTGACTCTTCCTCTGTTTTGATGCTCTCTGTCTGTAGTCTGGAGAACAACGCCTCTGGGGACACCTGACCAACCATCCCGTCTGAGGAGGAGGTAGAGGCGAGCAAGCGTCGGGGAGAAAGACAGAGAGAGTGTGTTAGACATCAAAATAAAAATACATCCCAGCGCAGCACAGGAAAAAGGGTTCTGTTTATCTGGACACCAAAAGAATTAGAGTCGATTAGTGTTCAACTATTAAATTGTAATTCATTTTGATAATCATTGAGTCCTTTTTTTAAGAATAAAATCTCCAAATGTTCTGATGTGAGCTTCTCAAATCTGAATATTTTCTGCTTTCTTAAGTCCTCTTTGACAGTAAACTGAATCTCTTTGGGTTGTGAGCATCAAAAATGATCGTTAGGTTAATGGATAATAAAACCCATCGTTAGTTGCAGCCCTAGTTATATTGGTGAGTGAGTGTGACTAGAGACAAAGAAAAAGACAAAGCACTGTCAGTCTACATCAACAACATGTCATACACTGAGACATGATGATGGAGACTTCCACAGTCACGGATGGTGAAAGACTTTTTATCCAACTATTTCAGTAGTTTTGGCGAGTTGACTGTTGTTACTGTGTTTCAGTAGTCACACTTGTCTTTGGGCAGGATGGAAAAACAAGCATATTTGTGCATTGTGGTCGGTGTACTGTGACATCACTGTTGGGTGTGGTTATAGCTACAACAGAGCGCGCTCATAACCACACCCGTCACTGATGTCATATTTAGTTCACCTACTGATTTTGGCATCGCCTCTATTATGTGACGAAAAATAACAATCAGAGCTCAAAGTCATGTCTTCGAACAGCTTACTATGTTTTAGTAACAGTCTGAAAAACCCCAAAAGAATCCATTTGGCAAAAAAAAGAAGCAAATCCTCTCATAAATCACTCAAAATATGAATCACTTATCAAATAGCCTATGCATTCTACCAGTCAATAGGTGAAAGGTTGACCCCACAACACACATAGGTTTGGGGAAATAAAATATAGGGAGAATGCAAAGGAAAAATAATACAGAAACAAATGAATAAATAATATGCCTATATAATAATAATAATAATAATAACTGGGTGATCAATACAAAAGTAAATTTAAAAAATCTATGTCACATTTTACAAATTAATTAATGGCTACATTTATTTTTAATATATTTTTTGGCATATTAATTTTTTTAATGAGTCATTTTTTTATTTTGGCAGTTTTGGCCCTCCGTAGATGGCATATAATGCTTTCCTTAATATTAAATAGCTGTTTTATAATTTAAACAATGAAGTTCAGAGTTCAGTTAGTGCAAACCTGCTGGTGCTCTTGTCTCTGTACTGATTCACGTGTATGATTAGCTTCCTGCAGGATTGCTCATGTCTGTCCTCCAGCCAACATGAAGATGGAAAACTAATGTTCCTATGAGATGACATTAGACGACTGTGTAGCTGCTCGTGTTGCTAACTTGTTAGCTGGGAATACCCCCCCCAACATTTCACTGAGTAATAATATTAATGGTCTTAACACTGATCAATCTTCATACTTGAAGAAGACTTTCTAATCTTTCTGGTGGTTTGCAGGACAAACTTTTTATTTGTTGTGACATTTTCAAGGTCTGCTCCAAGCTGCTTGACAGTCAGACACCATAACATCTCATGAGTCACTGTTTGAAAGTCTCAGAAGTCTCCATCCCTCACTCTTATTCATTTACCCTTTGTTCCTCCCTCCTACCTCTTAGGGAACAGTGTTGTCTGTAGGTTTCTCTGACGGCCTCTAGCTGAGAATATCTCTCCACCAGCACCTCCTTCTGCAACTCCAGACGGGGCTTCATGTCCAGGTTTTGCTCAGCCAGGCTGCGATTTGATGCCAGCGCCATCTCTCTCTCCAGCTGAATGTTCTGGATCTGAAGGGGGAAAAGTGAATGTATATATATATAAATAAATGTAAATGTGATCGTTATTAGGCTGTACACATGAAGGTATGACTGTCTGTAGCATTTCCTCTGGGCTTCTCTAAGAATTCAGCTTGCAGCTCAGAAAAAAATAAACTCACACTGTAAAGGTAGCTGTAAATCTGTTTCAATATATTGTGGCATAATGTAAGCTAGGCAATATATTGCAATTTTAAAAAAATGTCACAGTATAAACACACCACCATATGCATAAAATTAAAAGTAAAGAAAAAGTTAATATGTTTATGCAACCACAACAGTGGGATCTGTATTTGTATTGATCACAGTCCCTGTAAAATACAACATCACTGCCCTCAGTTTAAGTTTACAACACTACTATCGAGCAGTTGGGGATTTAAACACAAATAACGATACACTGTGAAAATCGACATAACATCACAAAACAGTAATATATTTTACAATATTTTCTTACACCTTTAGCTGAAATAAAATTCCCAGGACAACATGGTGTACTTCCAGGATGGCCATTCCATGACTGAAGTACTAGTCTCTAATATTCCAGGTTTTCTAGGACATGTCCAGCATCCTGTCTGCTTATTCCTTCAGATAGTTCCTGATATAAATCAGTGTTTTGCCAGTTTGAGACAATTTTATTTAGGATGAACGATGTGTGGGAAATGGGGAAGAAGCTATGCAGGTATCAGCTGCTCCAACAGTAGAGGCAAACGTGAGACAAAAACTGAATGTGAAACACACAAGCCTTTACTTCCTGTCTGAGACCATACAATTGCTCGCATGCTAGGCGATTAATTAATTAATCTTGAATACCTTACCAAAATAACAAATCATTTATATTTACTACGTTTTGACTAAAATAACTAGTGTGATAATTAAATGCAACTTGATTGAATAAGCTAGCTAGCTACACAGTACATCACTTGAAATCTAGCTGTCAATATGTCAATTTGAATTTCCCTCAGGATAAATAAAGTATCTATCTATCTATCTATCTAGTTTGAATAATGCTAGATCACCATCCATATAAAAGGGCCTTCATCAGTAACTGGGAGCCACTGCTTAATGTCATCAACCCAACTACCCATGCTGCTGTCACAGAGTGACTACAACACGCCACCTCAGTAACGGTACTGCTAGATGGCAGGACACGCAAACCGATCAACAGATTTGTGTAGGTAGCATGTAGCAAATGTGAATCAGGCCCAGGAAAGAACATGTCTAGGTACAGTACAATAAGGGGATGTAGGAGTTTTGAAGCGAGTACCGGGTAGAACCTTGGTCAAGATGATCTTGAAGTCAATTTTAGGATGGAAAAAGAAGATCAATGTCAGCTTTGGGTGAAATATGGGTATCCTTTTGTGAGAGTTTGTGGTCTCTCACTATAGTCAGATAGCCAAAAGTTTAATCTAATCAGTTCATCCTTGAGTCCAAGTGGATGCGTGCCAGGCAAATTAAAAATAACCACAACAAGAGAGGAGAGGGACTGCAGATTGGGATTGATAGCCCGCAACTGCGGAATCAGAGCCAGGACAGAATCACTTATTAACAGCTGGTTAACGTAGTGTCTAGACATTTTAATAACTTTCTGAAACAGACAACAGAAAAAAATAAAGTCAAATTCCCTCCAAGCGTTCCTGAGATGTGACGTTAATGAAAATGGGATGGTTGGACAACTCATTAACATAATGCCTCTGGCCAAGGCTGCTGCCAGCCCGGAGACTTAAAACTAGTTTTGGTAAATCGTTTTAGTATTGGTAGCAACACCTGGGTATCATGTCGATACCAGTATCAACAAATTTCAAGCGAAACCCAATCCTAGTGGGTAGAGGGCAGGGTGAAGCACTTCTTAAGCACTGGTGGACTGCTATTAGAGATAGATGTTAGAAAATATGTAAGATGTAAAAGATGTGCTTCCAGCCCCATTTCCATGTAGAGCATTAGCCAGTCATAGGGGTAAGAATCTGTGCAGTCCTTTCAGACGTTACATAACATTGTTACGGAAAGAGTGACAATGCTCAGTAACATTTGGCACCTGGTGCACAGAGGGAGCGCTGTCACTGCAGTGGTGAGTGGGACAGTTAAAACATGAAGGGTGAGCAGTGTTCTCTCACAGGCTCTGAGGGACTTTAAACCCTCTTTTTCATTGACTATATTCACATATTCAAAATATTTTTCCCCTTATTCCGAAAAAGACAATATTCCTACTAAGCTGTTTGCCTGGCAACTGAAACTTGTCTTGTTCTTGTACGCTGTGCATACTCCGATTAACTGTTATTGACATACTGTACTTTTATCTTTTTCCTTCCCTTTCCCTTTTTCAAACTGCAGGTACAGCATCTGGAGCTGCAGCCATTTAGCCTCTTGGATTCAAAAGAGTATCTTTTAAAAGTTTTTCACTGGTGGGGAAAACAGCCTCCCTCTTTCATTCGTCTGGCCACCTTCTTGAAGTCTTTTATACTGTTTAAAAGTAGGCAGGTTTCTCCTTCTGAACAGAAATGTGGGCTTTTATTTGTGCATGCATTTCTACTCCAGCCTTGCAAACTGTCGGCTAGATGGTTAGTTTAGTTAAATAAATGACACGTTTTGCATTAACTTGACAGAATACTGTTAGTTCTCCATCTACACAGAGGAAACCTTAGTTCGATACAGCAAAAACAGGGTTCCCAGTCTTTTTAAGAAATCATTTCCAAGAGTTTTTCTTGACAATACTGTCATATAATTTACCAGTAGGCCTAGTAAACCCGTTTTGCCAGGTTCATGATGAAGCATCACAGCATTATTACAGGTAGGTGGACAGCATTCATGAGACACACCACGTTAGCTCAATTTCCTGGCATGCCTGGCTATTCTCACCACTCATCTTACTGTTGCACTCCCTTTTCTCCCTTTGTTATGGTAGTGCCTTTTCTTTTCATGTCTTTTATTCTGACGCACTTCAGGTAAAATACAGGATGTGGCGTCTATAAGACAGGAAATGGACACTAGTTTACATGGATAAAGTTATGTTACTCTGTGGTTGCAGCTTTGCTCTGCAACAAAAGATTTTGTGTTGGCAATTAAGTGCCCGGCAGGAACAAGATGCGGGAACAGGCTAATGTATGTCTTATAGCTCTTATGGTGTAAACGTAGAGGCTGAAGGCCTGAACATAAAATAACTCTTATAAAACAGCGTCACTATTGTCTGGCCTCAGTTCACTACACACCACAGCTGATCGTTCTGCTGTGGTCTCAGCTTTCCTCCCGCTCTAACATTAATTTGGCTACAGTACCCATAAGTAACAAAGTTCAAATCAAGTAGTAGTACCAGTGCTTAAAGATATTTGCGTCTATCCCATCATTTGAATATGGAAATAGCGACACACATCTCTCCTGGATAATACTCACAGGTGTTCAAATGAGAAGTGACAGAAATAGCTATATGAAGAATGAAAAAAGAGAACTGAGAGAGAAGTTCAAGCCCCAGCTCCTTTCTCATCTCACTCCTCCGTACAGCAGACCAATCACTGAAGTGAAGTGGATGTGATGTCAGTTTCAGAAAGTTACAGAAACAGTTGGACACAGGCTCCCTTAATCTGACGCTGGACAGGCGTGAGGGGAGGGGCTTCTGAAGCTATTCGATGTGCAACAAGCTTCATATTGCTGTGTGTGTCTGTAGCCAGTTCACACAGCCTAACTGCCGCCCACTGACTTATTATAATGTCCAGAAAATACATTAAGCAGCTGTTAATGAGTGACTGGGCTGGCTCTGTTTCCGCAACTGTGGCTATCAGTCCCAATCTGCAGTCCCTCACATCACTTGTTGTGGGAAACTAATAGCCAGTTGACCGGATGGAAATGAATCAATGATTGATCAGCTATTAATTATTTACTTTAAAAACAACATCAGTAGTATTTGCTGCTTGCCAATGTGAGTGTTAGCTCACAAAATAAGTCTCCTCTGGCTTTGGTAACTTTACAATCACCAGTATTAAAGGGCAAGAAGTGTAACGTGTATACACCATCAGCTGTCTCTTGCTGCCCACACAGCTTAGCATGCACTCTTACTGATGCCGTTGTTTCTGCAGTTTTAATGTTTTCAACTGTTTTATTGTCTCTGTGTCTGTTAATGTTTCGTTTATTTTTCATGCTGACTTTCTGCAAAAAAGATTTGCTCCTTGACTTATGGGACAGGTAAGATCTGAACCAAACTGATGGACATTTGTTATCAGTTTAATCCATTTTCAAAAAAGTATTTTGTTAGCAGCTTAGCTGACTTATCTAAAGAATAATCGACAGGTGAATGGAATGTTAAAAAAAATAGCTAATAGCTGTTGTAGCCCTAGTCTAAATGCTAGGTTCTGGTGGGGTTTCTTTTTAGGGGTTTTCTTAATTAATAAATTAGTTGTTTGTTCCATAAAATGTCAGAAAAAGCCCATGGGGACGTTCTCAGAAGTAGGCATGGGACAATGTGAAAATGTCATGTCATGATTATCTTGGCCAAAATAACTGCATTACATGATATTATCATGATAATGATGAAAAATATACTTCATACTTTATAATGGCACTAAAACATACTGGAATCACTTTACCTTACATTTTGTTAAGAAACATATCTATTGCATTACAGATAAGCACCTCATCCCCATATTCTTTATTTTGGAATCTATACTATTCCCAACACCAGGTTTAACTTTTTGTGGGGGATCCAACAGGCAAGCTGAGCCTGCAGCCATGGAGACAGAATTGGGATTTTGGAATGACTGGAAAGATTCGGGCTCCCCCTTGTCCCCTTGTAGGTCTAAAGAAACTAAAAAAATATTCACATTGGAGAAGCTAAAATCAGAGAATCTGGACATTTTTTTCTTTAAAAAATGACTATTATCAAAATAGTAGGTGATTAATTAACTAATTAACTCAACTAATGCTGTCAGTAATCCAATTAATCACTAATTAATCAATTAATGTTGCAGCTCTAGTCTTTTATCATAATTCTGGTCTTTATATAGACTAAATGATTAACTTATTCATCAAAATAAATATACAGATCAAAGGGTGATGGTAGGAACTGTGTTTGTATGCTGTGGTATTTATAGCGGTTTGTGTAATGGAACTAAACCAAGTTATCTCGTGTGAGAGATCAGTAACTCTTGTTAGTGCATGTCCACACTTCCATTCGATTACAGCTGGTTCCTATTCAGTTGCTTACTTGCATGCAAATTTGTCCTGTCAGAGGTTGACGCACCGTTTTCCAATCGCACGCTTTGATGCAAATCAACTACGTATCGTTTAAGAATGTCACCATCATTTTTGCAAACTTAATTTCCAGACATTTATTATAATTGCCTGTTAAGGAATAAATGACCCCATAGCCTACCACTGTGCCAAATGAAAGGGTGCCATTTATTATTATGCTTATCATTATATCAGCAGCATAAAATGGTCTTAAAATGACAATAATATCTATCGTCTATCGCAGTTATTTTTAGGACAATATATATTGCCCAACAAAAGTAGTTACAGTGACGGAGCTAGTTGGGATTACCAATAGCAGAGTGACAACACCCACTACACCTAAACATCTCCAGTGTGTGGAGAGTTTTTAAACAAGAAGTGTGAGAGCAAAGAGTCAGGGGAAGGAACACAAGGAGAAGGGGCTACACACTCATTTACATTAACAGAAAGCACCCAGTATAATTACAGTTTTATACAGTTGGACAACAGTGCTTCTGGTTTCCTCAGTTGTTGCTGAAGAGGGAAACTGTCCAGTACGTTTGAGGCTTAAACTAACCGTACATTTCACTAGCATGCCAGTTTGGGTGGTTGGTATCAGAATTTTAACTTCCCAAAACCCCTTCATCTGAGAGCTCAGACTCAGACCACAAAATGCTGCCTTTAAAAAAAATATTTTTACCTCGTCAGACTCCAGAGCCATTGACTCCACCCTCTCCGGGTTGTCCAGGAGCTCCTGTAGCTCTGATTGGCTCAAGTCCTGGAGCTTCTCCATTTGATTTGCCAGGATGGCTGTCCGTCATAAAGCAACCAGGAAATCAGAGTTAGAAACAATGTTTGGAAACAGAAAGTGGACAACCAGAGGCCTAAATTACGTATTTTAATGTTACTAACCTTGGGTAGATAATTATTAGTCACTGACTTATCAAGCTGTTGTTGACAAGTCAAGACAAAACAAACAATCTCACCTGCAGCCACTCTCTTAATAAAATAACCAACATGTCCGTGATATGTCACAAATATTGTCCCTTTTATCAATAGAAGTGGTACTAACACATTTACATTGCATTAGTTTGTACACTGCTGGCTAATAGCTAGCTAGCATGTTAAAGTCATACTCTCGAGGTAAGTGACTGTAGGCCACAAAACAGAACAAGCTGTTCAGACGAACACTAGTCAGCGAAGCGAGAAACAGGGTGGAAATAAACAGGTACTTACACGATGCTAGCAAACCAAATTCAGCCTGACACTGACTGGTGGTGACATCCAACACCACGTATTAATTTCAACTGACAGGCGACGTGACACGTCCTCAGGATCTCCGACCTCAGCCCCGACGGAATCCAGCCGAACGAAAAGCCGCCGATTCGTTTTTGACGCTCTTTGGCCGGCGAGCTAGCTAGCTACTCGGCCGACGTCCAATCTCACCTGGTGGTTCCGCGTTGAGCAATCCGATGACAACAACAGTCGGTATGATCGCAATGTCAGGCACTCAGCCACCGTCAACTTCGAGGGAAGCCCAGCGATTTGGCGATTAAAAACAGAGCCTCGAACGACTCCACTCGGTCCCGACGTCGAGTGTCAGACGGCTCTGTGTTCCGTTAATGCTTACTTTAATAAACAGACGGCTGAAGTCGTCAGAATGTGTTAGAAAATGACAAATTTGTCGCTAAAAATAGGAAAGTTTCACTCCACACTGATAGAAACCGCCGCCATTTTAGGAACCATCCACGTTCCAATGTTTGCGGGGGGTGCTCGGGCAAAACAAACATTTTCTGAAACAGCACTGGTTAACTGTAACGAACTCTTGATTTACACGTATATACGTTTTGAATACTTAGTGTTTGCCGACATATCTGGGTGTAATTATTTAAATTTTTCCCCGCTCCTGTCCCCTATGTCGCTGGGTAATGGTGGGGCCCTGTGCTCAGCTGATATAAGGGGAACCCCTATGTGACGGTAATGTTCCATCTACTGCTGCCAGTGTGCTTCCAGCACTTCTGTCAGTGGCAAAATATCTGTGTGAGCTACTCAACGCTGCTTTCTTTAGAAACGAGGACCGCTGAGTCACAACTGGAGGAATGAAAGGATTTTCTGTGTAAAGAGCTGGCTTAGAGAGGAAGAAAACACTGGGCTGGAGACAGGTTTATCCATTAGCTCAGTGTGTCCATGGAAATTTATAATAAGGACTCTAATGAGACATTTAGCCTTTTAGCAAGAATCCACCCAGCAGGAATGATGATGATAATACTAGCAGGTACAGTTAAGGTCTGTCTAAGGTTACGTTCATAGCGGACTGAAGAAACCCGAAAATATTCACATTTGAGAAGCAGGAATCAGAGAATAAAAATGCTTTTCCTAAAAGATGATTCAAAATTATTATTTGATTATCTGGGGATTGACAAATAAAGCTGCAGTAGGTAATTCTTTTTTTTTTTTTAAATATGTCATATTTGCTGAAACTTTCACTATATCCTGACATGAGACAGATAATCTATGAAAAAGAGAACTTCTTGTATGCTCTCTACATGTAGTTATAAAGGTTTTTAGCACATATTGAGAATTCAAATTGTGGTAGAAAGACAGACAGAAGTATTAAATGCTGGCACAAATGTATCAGCTGATGAGACTTGCATGTGAAAACCTCCGTATTGGTATTAGACCTTGAGTCAGTCAAGGAAATGGGTTTATTGCATTGCAACAGTTATCACCCCATTGAATAACGCAGTATGGACACATTAACAACACCTGTGTACACTATTATGTAATCAGTCAATGTTGTTTTTATGAGGCGTATATAGTAATGCTTGTGTAAGGTGTTTGTTATTTTGTCCTCCCCCAACATACATACAGAGGTACAAAAACCAACAAGCAAATGATTATTAAGTTGACTAATTCAGATTCAGATACATCATGTATATCTTTAGGATATTTGATTTGTTATACAATTATTAAGACATATATATGTGTGTATGTTCAACAGTATGTGTCTCCAATAGGGATTGCACATTCTCATAAAACTGCAGTTACATCAGGTAACTTCTATTTCTGTCCCCAAACTGGATTTTTTTTGTTCATGAAGAGCATGATTCTGTTTGAACAATTCCAGTGATACACTTTTGTCACAGCCAACTCATATTTCCTGCTCTGTAAAGGTTAACCAATCACTTTGAGACAGGTGTTTTACATGCAAGTATAGATTAGACATATTCAATCTCTAAATTTGGTCCTATGATCAAAACAATTCCAGATCAAGATCTTAACGATCACTGATCTTAAAGAACCAGTGTGTAGGATTTAGTGGCATCTAGTGGTGAAGTTGCAGTAGGCAATTATTTGAACAGCTCAGCCTTCCAAGGCATGTAGGAAAAACTACTGTAGCTGCAAAAGTCGTGAAAAACTAGACTAAACTAGCTAGTGCAGCATCTGTATCCAGGATATTTTGGATTCATTTTTGTACAGTGGGAGGAAGTGGAGACGCGACGTCAAGCCTATGTCAAACTACTATTCCTTTAAAAATATGAACACATTACATGAACAAAGTATCTCAATAAGGATCCCTTAGATTTGTGTTTTGCTTTTTATTGAGACACATACTGATATGGACATTTTACAGTGTAAAAACCAACTTGTCAGTGCTCTCTGGTGGACTAACTTTGTATCTAAATTGCCTACTTTGGCATTTCTGTACTGACATTTACCACATACACTCCTACTGTACAGTATCTGCAATATGCTTATATCAGCCGATATACCAGCTCTCAGTCTAGCTCTAATATTAGTGATGGTACAAAAATAACATTTTCGTGTATAACCTCACTTATGCCATGGCCACTTCATGTCAAATGATAGTCCAATTTTCAAAGTTAGCTTGATGGCTGGCGGTTAAATCCATTTATCATGTTTATTCCGATTATGTTTCATCATTTATTTGTTGACTATTTGATTTATATCATTTTGTCACATCCATGCTGACTGTGCTTAGAACTTATTTCTGCCTGACTCTGTTGTTACACTCTCAGGACACATTTTGTTTTGAACAGAGCACATTCGGTCATGCTCATCTATTATGAAAACTCTCTGCAGTGTCACCAGATCCACTGAAGCACAAATCTGCAGGATTGACACTTCACATCGGTGACGGAAAAACATGCTAGCCTACTGCTGATGAGAAATAATTCAACATGTACGGCAAGTGTGTTTCCCGTGTGTGAGTGTGTGTATTAGTCTGTTTTGAGTGCTTTGAGGGCAGAGACAGACAGGAGGCAGTGCAAGACCACAGCCACGGTGTCGTAGAGCAGCAGCAGCAGTGTCAAACTCCAGCAGTACGCCTGCAGGAGAAACAGAAAACACATCATCTTCTGCAATAATACACCAGTGATTCCCAACCTTTTCCCCTTTTATCATCCTTTAGTGACGTAATTTATGGATATTTCATGTTATATTCAATGCATAACAATAACAGTAGCGAACATCTAATCACCCTAATCACTTTTCTGATGCAGGACATAAATAAAATAAATAAAATGTTGCGTTAAAGGCCTACTGTTAAGTTGTCTTACACCCCTTTGGGAACCAGTGATCTACATTATGTAATCTACACTAGGTCTTCTTATAAAACAGGACTATCTTCCACTTCTCCGCATCTCTTACGTCGGAAACATGATGTTGCTGCTACCTTCTCCTGCATCTGTACAGCGATTTATTTCTCCTCATCATCATCATCACAATCCTTCCTTCTCGCCCATCTCTTGATAATATAACAGTTTTTTTTATGTTTGTCTTATGAGAAGAAAAGAGAAGTTTGAGAGAGCAGCGCACTGACCGACAGGACATCCCCGGGACAGCGCAAATATGAAGGTCTGTAGCCCCCGTCAGTAGGCTCACACAGATCTTTGGGTACAATGCTGAGGTTGTAGCTGTAGAGGCAGAAGGCAAGTGCTGCCCCCAGTAGGCCAGCCACATTACTGCACACACAACCTTGAAGCTGTGAAGGGAGGAAGTAATCAAGAGCCATCACTGTGCACAAACAATGATTCTATTGTTGTATTGTTTGTCATTATTATTCTTATACTACAACAGCCCTGAAAAGACTTGAGCTGCACTTATGTTGATCTTAGTTTGTATTCTTAGATTATCGATACTAAGTATACAAACACTGAAATTTTACCTACTGAAGTGAGAACACTTCAGTAATTAACCTATAGTACTGCTAGAACCTTCCTAACTTGCTGTTAGATCAAACTCTCCCATTATCCTTCAGATTAGCTTGTTATGTGTACACACCAGTAGTTTGCTGGGGTTCCTCTCACTGGCCATGGTGAATGATCCTCCTGCCATAATCTGCAACACACACACAAACATACTGTTAATATTTTGATCACTTTTTGACATTATCAGACTCGAATCACAAATTTCATGACTTCAGACTCGACTTGATAAAAAAAAAACTTGCAGTTTGACCAGGACCACCAATGACTTCACTTGGACTTCAGACTTGATGCCTTCCTCCAAATCCAAAGATTCAATAGTATGTTATTGCATAACCATTAATCAATGTATTTCCCCGTTAGTGCTTTTCAGCAAATTGATACTCAATTGCCAAAGATCCACTATGTTTGAACTGATCCAATCAAGTTGCAGGAGAGAACCATAAAGAACTAACTTTATATTACTGAGCAAAAATAAAAAAACATTATACCAAAGATCATTTTGTTTTATTCTGTACAAAACCAGGTCTATATAAGCACTGTTTATAACTCAGCAACAGTCTACAATGTTGTCATTCAACCAGTTTATAAGTCCTTTATTTTCAGTCACTTAAAGCCATTGTGCATACAGTACAGTATGTGGTGCATCTGCGATATCATTTTGGACACGTATTGTGCATTATTTTACACAAGGGTCGCACAGCTTGGGTACTTTATCAATTATTTTTCTGTGCATTTGTACACACATAAGATCCATTTTTCACACTGTCAAACAAAAGGAAGACATTTTTCATTGATTAATAATTAATTAATTAATAATTTCCCTGAAATCATTAGGTTTTTTTTAACAGTGCAGTAAAATGCTATATGCCTAGTATAGCCTCACCTTTTTTTACTTTTTAAGTAAAGGGTAGTATTTATCTTATAAGCAGCCAGACATTTGCTTTTCACATTACAGTAGTGACATTATTAAACACATTTCAGATACATCATAGGCCCACACTGTAATTCAATAAATTTGAAACCAGGAAGTAAAATTCTGTATATGGGGCTGAGCTGACGGTTGAATATTGTTGCTTACCAGTGAGGGGAGCTCTATCTCTATCACTGATATTATTGTTATTATTATTAGTTGTTGTTGAGTATTGTTGTTGCTGCGGTTGCTGTTGTCGCGTTGCTGGCTGTCGTCGTCGTCACCGCTTTCCTTCATGATCGTCCCCATCGATCATTACTTGTTATGTAGTTGTTGCTGCTGTCTTGTTGCTGTACATCTGTTTGTCTCCTCTGTCTCTCTCTTCTCTGCTCGTCCCCTCTCCTCCCCCCAATGGTCAAGCAAGGATGACACCCACCCTAGAGCTGAAGGGTCTGTCCTACGGTTTCTGCCCGCCCCGCCCCGCTTGTTGTCCTTGCCCACCGTCAGGCCAAGTTGTTGCTTCATGGCTGGTACTGTTGGGTCTCTGTAAATGTTACAGGAGTCGTCCTAGACCCTGGCTCCTATTGTGAAAGTTCTGAGAATATTCTGTATATCCGAATTGGCGCTATACAAGATAAATTGGAAATTGATTGACCTTAATTATAGCAACAGAACCTTTTTAGTCGGTTGTGCCACATCTGAGGCGCTGACCTTGACTAAAACATGCCGATCAAGATTGAGCGACAGGGATGCTGCCCAGCAGCTGGACCCCCTCTGTATCTGGTCTATAGGCGGTTTAAATGACCCACCAGATTTTGCTTGTATGTAGTTGGTGTATTTTTTGACAGATGCATGTATCTTACTTGTTGCCCTGATCATGGCCTATGACTAAAAGGTTAAATTGGCAAGGCGGCTTCTTCACCAGGGGGGCCGG